AGGCTAATTTGCCATCAGATATACCTTTATTAAAAACAAAAAAAATCATTTTTGTTACACATTGATTCACATCTAGCTCAGAACAAATAGTAATAAATAATCTATGATACTTATCCCCTAAATTTTGTTTGTGCATGTTCTAGTCGGTTTATGCAAAAAAATTATTAAAATGAAAACGAGTATTTTGTGTTTTGGTGCAGCTATTGTTTTGTTTTTTATTGTAAGTTTTGTTTTGTCTTAATCTTGTCAAAATCTTTCTGGTTTTTGTGTTTTAATTAATTTTATATAGGAAATTTCCCTGGCATTTCATGGACATCATTTGGAGTCGAAAAAGCCATGCATATGGGTGATTTTCAGAAGAAAACTACCTTCAAAACGACGTAAGTACATTATTAATAAAAAAAAATATGTTAAAGTGAACATTGTTTTTTTAGAACCAGTAAATGTCACCACAGACACTTCCAAGAATGCCTCAATACCAACAATACCGCCAGCTTCAGAAACACCCATGACACTACCTCCAGCTTCAACTGAAGCTATGCCAGCCGCAACTGAACCAATGTCGACGACCGAAGCTGCGACCACAGCCGCAATGGAAGAACCTGGTGGTGAGGAAACGACGGAAGCTGCAGCTACAGAGGAGTCCACTGAAGCTGCAACTGAAGCTGCGGCAGATGGCGAAACTACAGCCGAAGCTGATGCCGAGGAGGTTACAGAGCCTAGTGAAGCTGCAGCTGGCGAGGAGGCTGAAGAGTTGGCTAGAAATAAACTGTCTAACGTTAAAAGAAGGGGGAAACATTAAAAAAATGTTGGATAAAGTTAAATTGTATAAGTACATAGAATAATTAGATGTTTTATTTAAATTAAAAATATTATAAAAATAGAGGAGTTTTAAAGAATTCCAATAGCAATGAGTAAAAATAAAAAGTAAATAATATTATGTCAATTAATCTGCCTGTAAGGCGGCAACACAGAATACACAATTGTGTAAATAGAAATTACCGTCTGGTTTGAAAAATTCGTTTTTTTAAATGATTATTTCCCTCATTATAATATGAACCAATCAAAAGCCTTGAATTTTCGAATAAATTTCGTTAAATAAGGGATTAAATCACTAGAACTATTTAACAGCGATTAAATTTTAGCCTCCATATTGGATTTTTGTTTACGATTTTATGGTGTTATTTACAAGTTTTAACAAACATTTTTTAAAAACAATAAAAAATCAGTTATCTAGTTTACGAAATATCAATTATTACTTAATACATACCTTAAATTAATGGAATTTTCTTTAAAAAAATATTTATAAATTTTGACACATACGTCAGATTTTATGAATTGTCAAATAGTTTCCTTTAATTCGAGAAATAATCTAGACGTATATCACTCAACCTATAAATTCAAACTATGCTCAGTAAGTTTTTTATTTGATTTTTCTTTTTGGAAAATAGTTTCATGCAAAATAATTAAAAATAAAACCCCTCGACCGCTACGCGGTCTCGTGATTTTATTAAACTATTTTGCATTCAACATTTTCCAACAAAAACCAAACAAAAAACCACTGAACCTAGTTTAACCGATTAAATTCATAGTTCTCGTGATATATATTATTATATAATATATGATTATATCTCAAAAAACGATTGTTTTTCAAATAATCTCTAATTTCTTATGTTAAAGTTGTAAAAATTAATGAATCTTTATAGTATCACAATATTTTCGACAATATATTATACAAAATCAGAGCCCACGACGTATATGACGTCACTTCCGTCTCGTGTCATTTTTTCAATGTTCTTAAAACGTTCTTTTTCACTTAATCTTCAAATCAAATCAAATATTGGTTTTAAAAAATTATAGAGGTTTGTTATACTTTAAAACTGTTTATTATCATACAAAAATACCATATTGTCCCAGGTAACACATTGACGTCTGCTGACGTTTAAATGACGTTGAAATGACGTCAGAAGACAATATTCGTACACTCTTAGCATGGCCACGAAGCAATAATATGTGACTTCTAGGCCATGCCAAATATTACTTCTTGCGGATGTTGAATAGATTACAAATTAATACAAATATGGTAAAAATTAAAGTATGGTTGGCTACCCTGATGCTGCTGTTGTAGTGGTAGTAGCGGGAGTTGATGTAACTAAATAAAAAAATTAAAAAAATATCAATATATAAATGCCGTTTTGGGAAATTTTGGGAAATTTTTACCGATGGTTATCGTGAAGAAACAACTTTTTACGAATTCTTCCCAAGTTCTTATTAATCCGTCTGGTTTATTTGATTGGTAGTTTAATGGTACTGCAGATACTTCCATCTAAAAAAATTGTAGTAAATTAAAGTATTAAATATACAGTGTGTTCATATATTTCTTCCAATTTAATTGTTAATAAACTCACCAAAATAGCAGATATAAATATCCAAACAAAAATGGTACGAAAGATCATATTGTTTACGTTATTACTAAACCTAATGAACTTTTGAAAGAGTAAAAATAACAACAACAAAATTAATGGGGTTAATGATGAATAAATAATACTTTGTTAACTGAATAAAAAATCAGCAAAAGTGTCATTTTTATATTTTAATTAACCCATCCACCGGAAACGAAAAATGCAAAATCAAAAAGATCGCTAATAAAAATTTGTTCCCAGTTCCGCACTCATTCATACAATGTCATTTTAAATTTTTTAATTATTTTCCTCTATAATTTAGCAGAATTTATTCAAGGTGTTAGAAAATTAGGTTTAATAACACTGTAATTTATTGGATATACTGGACGACATAAATTTTGAATCTATAGTCAGTTCTGACCTTGGACAATAAATTAAAGTGGCTACAAAGTTAAATTAACCTTAAAATAAAGTTATTTTGTAAATTATGTTAAAATTACTTAGTCCTGTAGTTAATTTTAGATAATAAAAGAAAGTTATTAAAATAACGCATCTTCCACTGATGATTTTGGTAAAAATGTACGCCCTGTATATTATTAAAGCAAGGGTCAAAAGCTTGAACTAAATTGAGGCAATTTACTAATTTTTGCCATATTTAAAGCGCCAAATTTTACGGTCAGAGAGTTAATAATCTATTTAAATTTCATTTCATTATGTGCAAGTGATAAAAGATTAAAATAAATTAAAAATACATTATATTTGTTTACTTTCGTCGGCAAATTTGTGTTTGTTTTTCGAATTATGGCGGTGTTTGCAAGTTTTATAGTGATTTTTTCAGTTTTTATTGTAAGCTAATCATGTTTTATTTTAAAAGAAAGATTTTTTGATTCGTTTTTAAGCTACTTACAGAGTTTAGTTAAGTTACTTTTTAATAATTAACAAATATATTTTGGATGATGATTCTACCAGGGATGCCATATTCTGTCAAAAAAATCCGCTAGATTTTGTTTGAATCCACCTTAATCACAAAAATGACACATTGATACAAAGCAAATTGTCAATTTGACGTTATTCATTATTGTTAATTGTGTCATTTTTGTAATAAAAGTGCATTTAAACATTTTTTTGACAGATTCTACACGTTAAAATAATAAAAAAAATATAAATATGATAAATGATGACCATAGGCGTGCAAAACAGAAAAAATACTTGTGTTTTTTTTTTAAATTTTTCCAGAATCCCCCCAAAATATATTAATAATTAAGTTTTTCCACATTTTTTGATTTTGGTACTAGGTATACATATAGGGTTGCCAGATTCTGTCAAAAAAATAAAGGACATTTTGTGACAATTTACCTTAATTACAAAAATGACACAATCAACAATACTCCCTGATAGCACAGTTTATTCTAAGAATGTTTTTTAAACCTTCCAGTGAGAATATTCTTAGGATCATGCTATATATCTTCTAGGCATGTTCTAAGAATGTTTTTTAAACCTTCCAGTGAGAATATTCTTAGGATCATGCTATATATCTTCTAGGCATGTTCTAAGAATGTTTTTTAAACCTTCCAGTGAGAATATTCTTAGGATCATCCAATATTTAAATATAGGATGATCCTAAGAATATTCTCACTGGAAGGTTTAAAAAACATTCTTAGAACATGCCTAGAAGATATATAGCATGATCCTAAGAATATTCTCACTGGCCTCTAGGCAGGTTCTTAGAAGGTGCAAAGTTTAGTGGTAAAAATTAATCCACTCTAAACATATGCTTAGAATGTTGAGAAAGTAATTAGTATTAAATACTAAGTAAAAAACAACCCAAAATATTTTTTATAGTTATTTATCAAATTAAAACAATATTAGATAACAAAAATACTTTTGCTATAGGTATATAAATTATCCGGCTTTTACCTAAAATCTTCTATCCAACTTAAATACAATGAAAAATCACCAAAACTAAAAAAACGAAACAAATATCGGTAATTTACAAATGACGCAATTGTTTTCTATGCGTAGATTTGAACGCAACAGTGTTGCCGGATTTATTTTTTTAAGTCATTAAATTAACAATAAATTAAATTATTATGTTTATATATATTAAAAATGTTATTTTGTGTAGTTTAAATTACTTTCCATTTAATAAACATTAAGATATGTATGTAAGAGATAAATTATTTGTTACAAATAAAACACAAAGGCAACGTTGTATGCATGCTTTCTTTAGGATACAGACAGTGTTGCCGTTTGTGGGTATTTTACCCGAAAATCGGGTATTTTTGTCATGCTTGCTGGTAAAATGTAAAAGCGGGTATTTTGCAAACTTTGATCAAAATACCAACTTCAGAAATGTTTAGTGAATATTATTGTATATGTACTAAATATATTATTTTATTATATCCTGTTACCATTTTTATTGAATAATTCAATATTTTATTTATTTTTTAAAATAGGGCGAATTCGCATTAATGCGCTAGAAAATTAATACCGAAAACTATTTTTTTAGTCGTTCGCGTAAAATCGGGTGTTTTGTAATTTTTGGTTGGAAAGTTTCATGAAATTCATCCGGCAACACTGGATACAGTGCTGCTTATGTTTTCTGAATTTCACGCAAGTTACGCCCATATTTGTTGTTATCTATTTTGACAAACTTTTCTATATGTTTTGTTAATTGGTTTTGTGTTTTGTGAAAATATCCTGATATAATATATAACAGGTAATATGCCTAAGCAAGGTAAAAACTATATTTACTCTAAAGTGCGCAAAGAGGTAAAAAACATATATAAAGACCGACCGTCTTGTTCATGGGAAGTGTTATCAGAAGAAACTTCTGCCAGAGAACGTTTTACTTCTTCTGATAGTGATATTTCCACTATTGATTATAAAGAAGAAAATCGTCTGGAACAAGATATTTCCACTATTGATTATAAAGAAGAAAATCGTCTGGAACAAGATTGTTTGGAACAAGAAAATATCCAAAATAACAACATTTCTGTCTGCGATATGCTTAAAGACTCTTTTGTACGCCACAATATTAGTCATTCCGCTATAAAAGATATTTTATTTGCCCTTTCAAAATCGAGCGATAAAGAGTTAAAAGCCCTTCCAAAAGATCCTCGAACATTTTTATGTACTCCAAGAAAAACAATATCTCGTTATGTTGCACCAGGCCACTACAGCCATTGTGGGGTTAGGACATCTTTAGAAATTCAATATGCAAAGTGTAATATAGTTCCACCTGATATTATAAATATTGCAGTTTTTATTGATGGAACTCCTCCATTTAATAGTTCTAATTTTCAATTATATCCCATTTTAATTTTAAATAAATCAATAAATTCAACAAATAATATATCACTTGCAGGTATATATTTTGGTAATAAAAAACCCAACAATTGCAATGAGTTTTTGCAAGATTTTGTTCAAGAAATAAAAGAGTTAAATAATGGGGTAGTTATTAATGAAAAACAGTGTAAAATAAATATTACAATGCTTTTAATGGATGCTGTGGCCAAAGCTGAAGTTTTATGCATAAAACAGGTTACAGGGTACAGTTCTTGTACAAAGTGTAAGCAAACAGGAGAATGGTACAAGGATAGGGTATGTTTTCCTTTGACCACTTTTGAAAAAAGATCACATGATGAATTTTTGGCTCAGATTGATTTAGAACACCATACTGGGCATTCTATATTTACAGAACTTCCTAATATAGATTTAGTACAAGATGTACCATTAGATTACATGCATCTAATTTGTTTAGGTGTAGTTAAGAAATTATTAGCTTTAACATGGGTTCATGGCAAACCTCCCAATAAATTTTCTGCAAATCAATATAATATTGTCTCTGACAGATTAACAAGTTTAAGTAAATGTATGCCCAGTGAATTTCAGCGTAAGCCTAGAAGTTTATATGAGTGCAGAAATTTTAAAGCAACAGAATATCGACAGTTTTTATTGTATACATGTGTTATTATATTAGAGAATGTTTTACCAAAACAAAAATATGACCACTTTTTGACATTGCACACTGCAATAAGAATTTTAACAAGTAATTTTTTAATTAAAGAATATTTAGATTATGCAGAAAAATTACTAGAACATTTTGTATCATGCACCAAAATTTTGTACGGAAATGAATTTATAACTCATAATATGCATAATTTGTTACACATATCCGATGATGCTCGAAAATTTGGCGTATTGGACAACTTTAGCTGCTTTGCTGGAGAAAGCTTTTTATACCAAATTAAAAAAATGATCAGAAAACCATGTGATGTTAATGCACAGATTATTCGTCGGATCTCAGAACTTAATTCAAATAAATTACTTGAAAATAATGTATCTAAATGCACCAAAAAATTTGAGCAGAGCCATTCAAATGGCCCTTTGTTAGAAAATTGTATTGATCCTCAATATAAAGTTGTAAAATTTTCCAATTTTAAATTATCTAATAATAAAAGAGACCATTGTTGTCTTCTAAAAAGTAAAGAAGTTGTTATTGTAAAAAATTTTGCATATAATTGTACTTTAAATTCAATTGTTATTATAGGCAATAAATTTTTGTCTTTAGATAATTTATTTACTGTCCCACTTGACTCAGCCACTATTGGTGTATATAAGGCAAGTAATTTGGGCCCTTTAAACTTGTGGTCTATAGAGGAAATTGAACAAAAACTTGTATGTTTACCCTATGAAAATAGTTATGCTATTTTTCCAATGTTACATTGTATATAACATAGGTTAAAATATATATATTTTAATTATTAATACCATTATACAGGGTGTTTTAAAAATGAGCAAAATAGTAAAAATAATGTTTTTTTACGTGTGCTTGCTGCACTATTTTCGGTACACCCTGAGTAATGTAAATTATTATCTTCACAAACAATGTTTTAAAGATCTGCTTGGTACAGACTAGTTTCTGATTCTTGTGGGAACAAAATTTTTGTTTGATTTAAATTCAAAAATGTAATAAAATGTTTGCCTATTGTTTTATTGTATGTACTTTATTTAGAATGAGCTGGAAAGTAGTTAAATTTTTGAATGAGGATCAAGTGGAAGCAGTCCCTACCTCTTGGATAACCGAGGACTTAGAATATTGTTATTTTCCACGAGAAACAGAAAACTTTAAGAAGGCAATTAGGCAATGCTTTCCTGTCAAACCATTTTGGAAAAAATATGCTGTGGAAGTGTTAAGCCGAAAATCCTATTCAAAATTTGCAGTTGCTTCAGCAAAGGCCTCCAAAGCATGCTGCACTTCAGACCTATCAGAAATAGAAGTTTTAAAAAAAAAGAGGGTGCCCAAAAGAAAATATGTAAGCAGCAGTGATAGTGATAATGAACTTCTGCTAAAAATTCCAAAATTTCCAACTATTAAAACCAATAAAGGTAATACTCAATAACTAATTATAATTATATACAGTGTGTCCACTGGAGTTGACAACAGGAGAAAAATCTTTATTTTTGATTTTACAAAAAGAAGTTAATATTTATAAACAATTATGCTTTTCAAAAAGTGGGTTTAAGAAGGCAGTGGTTTACCATAAAAAAATTTAGATCAAATATACAGGAGGTTACTAAATTAGAAAAACATAAAAATGCTTCATGAGAGAAGTAGAATTATTAATTATAATATATAATTTATAAAAAATATTGTCAAAAAAATGGGTTTACCATAACAAAATTAAGATCAAATATACAGAGTGGTAATATATTTGGAAAATATAAAATGCTTCTATATTTTTTGATAATATTTTTTAAAGCAATTTTATGTTTTCCTAATTTATTAACCCCCTGTATATCTGATCTAATTTTTTGTATGGTAAACCACTGCCTTCTCAAACCCCAAATCAAAAATAAAGATTTTTCTCTTCTTGTCAACTCCATCCGTGGACATGTATAATATTCTAGAATTATTTTTTAAACTTATATATTTATAGATTCAATATTATTATAAAAATCATAATATGATAATATGATATGCATAGGTTATAGTTATTTTAGGTTTTAATGTTTAATATATTATATTAAACATTAAAACCTAAAATAACTATAACCTATGCAGGTTACTAATGGTTATTATTATACCATAGGTTAAACAAATGTTATACTATTGTAAATTTGTACTATTAATAATATAACATATTATATAATTTTATAATAAATAATTTTTAGTAGTGGAAAAAGAAACTATAAAACATACACCCTTAAACAAAATAATTGAATCAGCCAAAGAATCTGGTTGTTTAACAGTCGAGTTAGCCAAAGAAGCTGGTTGTTCATCAGTTGAGTTATCCAAAGAATCTAGTTGTTCACTAGTTGAATTATCCAAAGAATCTGATTGTTTACTAAATGAATTATCCAAAGAATCTGATTGTTCACCAGATGAGTTACCCCAAGAATCTGGTTGTTCACCAGTTGAGTTGGATTTTTTTGATGGTATGTATTTTTATATTTATTTATACTTAAATATTTCTTAAAATTCCAATTGGGGTTTTATATAAACTCAATAATTATTTAAATTAGACCGTGGAACTCTTTTCAGCGATAACGTTAACTACAGTCTGGATTTTTATCTTATTTTCATTACTTTTTTTTTGGAGAAAAACTATCAACCATAAAAATAATACAGTAAAATCCTTTACATTTGTTTTTATTATGTTTATTAAATTAATTGTTTATTTTAACGTGAATAAAACCTGTCGCTGGAAAAAGTTTTAATGTATTATTATAACAAACTTAATAAAAACAATACATTTTAAAATATTATGTTAGCATATATTAATAGCCTATATTTTGTAATAAACATTAAAAAATGCTATACATTTTAATTCCTTTTCTAAAAAAATATAGCTTTAATAAAAATATAATTTAATTTATTTCAGAAATCTCATTGGCTGATAATCTAGATAATGGAGAAAAAGAAAGTAAGTGTGTATATTTAATTTTACTGAATTAATTTTGGGTCTTTTTTATAATAATTCTTTAACAATTAAAAGGTTTTTATTATATTTTAAATGATTAACAGAAATTATAGCCATATTACCACAAACTTTTTTAGATGAACCACTAAAGTGTATTCTTAAAAAAGTTTTAATAAACAACAAAATGATCAATACAATCTTTAACGCAGTTCAAAGAATTGAAGAAAGACAAAAAATTTTAATAACAGAATTTAAAAAAAATCAGAAACAACTTCCATCAACAGATTCAGTAGACAATTTTGAATTTAAGGAAAAATTTCCATTAAAAAATGAAGTTGAACTAGAAGAAATGGAAATTATTTTAAAAAATTCAGAAATTAAAAATAAAATGGTAAGTTTTAACCCATTTAAAATTATTTATTGGCCATATGGTTATTAATATTTGCTAATACCTAGGTAATATAATTTAAAACTATCTAAACTAAAGTTATGGTCAAACGCGAGTTAAAAATCTGCCTCTAGCAAAACTTTAAATTTACTTTAAGCCATTTTACAGTCTGCAATTCTTCTTGCAGCAGTTTGTTGCCTGAAAGTTTTATTTTTACACCCTGCAATTGCTATGGAAAGGTAACTTGCTATTAAATAACTTTTATTGGCGTGATAATAAATGAAGATAAATTTTAGCAATCAAAATTGAACCGGATTGATTTTGTAAGAGCATATATTCCAGGAAGAGTATTGCATATTGCATAAAAATTGCGGACTATAAAATGGCTTTAAGAAATTGTCTTTCTAAGAAAAATGTAACCACCCATTTTTAATTAATATTTTAGATTTTTTCCAAATTTTTAGGTTTTATTTTTTTCAAAACAAGGAGGGATAGACTTTAAAGAATGCACACGGAGATGTTTAAAATTATGCCTCACTGAAAATTTGGCAAACACCTTCTCATTTATGGGACAAAAGAACAAAAAAAAATTTTCTTCTTTATCAATTTGTGAAGTGGTATTAGGTATGTATAATATACATAAATTAATTTTGGTTGTTGGTCAAAAATATATTATGGTTTTGACCAATAAACTTTTAACTGTATAGTGAATATACATAGGTGCCAAGAATTAAATGTACCTATAAAAAATGGTGACTGTATTGTTACGTTACATACCAAATAGATATAGTACTATATTTATTTGGTTGAAAAATTATAAAAAAAATATTACAAAGCTTTCATATTATTTTTATTTTTTTTACAAGCCAAAAATCACCATTTCCAATATACATTTATATCTTACGTATGTAGGTATATTTTTACTAAATAAGTATATTTAATTTTAGATGCAGTGCAAGAGTTCGATCCAACTTGTACCAAAAAGCAAATTGAATTACATATCGCATATTGGTTAACAAAATCTAAAGAAAGATTGAAGCAAATTCGTGTTTAAATGATTTGTTTTTAGAATATACTTTTTTGTTTTTTTTTATGAAGAACTATTTGGTTTTTTCTTTTATAAAGAAATATTTTATAAGGAAATATTTTGTTTTTTTATATTTTATTTTATATTAAAAATAAATATTTATTAATTTGTACACCAAATTCGTATTTAAATGATTTGTTTTTAGAATATACTTTTTTTGTTTTTTTTATTAAGAACTATTTGGTTTTTTCTTTTATGAAGAAATATTTTATAAGGAATTATTTTGTTTTTTTATATTTTAAATTATGTTAAAAATAAATATTTATTGATTTGTATACCGATTTTTTATTTCTGAATTAACATTTTTATGTATAATAATCCTACTATCTTCAACTTCAAATCTAATCTTACTTATCCCACAAAATTTTACAATTTTACTTTTTATGAAATAATGTCATACAACTTATGGTTCAGAGGTCAAATTGTTTATTTAATATTTTTAAATAAATATATATATTAATATGTCGCAAATTTTTTTAAGGGGACGACAAATACATTTCACTGTCATATTATGACAGTGAGGCGTATTTGTCGCCTCCTGAACAATTGAATGTAGAATCCAACATATTAGAATGTATATATATATATATATATCATATTTGGAAATATTCTCAAAAGCTTCCTAGAAGCTCCATAAGAAACCTTCTAAGAACATTCCAAAAACGTATTCTTAAAATGTTCTTAGGATGCTTTTTAGGAAGGTTTTAAGAAGCTTCTAAGAATCTACTTGCATCATTAAAAGGGTATCTATTGAATGTCTTAAAAGTCCCTAAGAACATTCTTAGCAATAAGGGAAGGTTCTAAGAATATTCCATTATTCCGAGTCGTATCTTCTTAGAAGATTCTTAGAATCAAATTTTGCTATCAGGGCTAAGGTAACGTCAAATTCACAATAACAATATTGTTTTGTAATTAAGGTAAATTTTCACAAAATGTACTTTATTTTTTTGACAGAATCTGGAAACCCTATATACATACCTATATCTATAAATAATATTTAAAATAAATCTTGGTCATTTTATTCCTAGATGTCAACTTTAGCCCAAAATACCACAAATGGAGGTAACATGAACCAAACGGGAGGAGGAGTGGGAGGTATGGTTGGACCTCCAGGAGGAGGAATGGGTAATATGGGAGGACGTCCTGGTATGGGTATGGGAGGTATGGGGGGACCTCCAGGAGGAGGAATGAGGGGTATGGGAGGACCTCCAAGAGGAGGAATGGGTGGTATGGGGGGACCTCCTGGTATGGGTATGATGGGAGGTATGGGGGGACCTCCAGGAGGAGGAATGGGGGGTATGGGAGGACCTCCAAAAGGAGGAATGGGTGGTATGGGGGGACCTCCAGGTATGGGGATGATGGGAGGTATGGGGGGTCCTCCTGGTATGGGCAGAGGAGGAATAAATATGATGGGAGGAATGGGTGGAGGAATGGGACAACAAGGAAATACAACAAGTGGAGGAGATATGGGGCAACAGAATTCAACACAAGCTAGATGAATTTAAAAAAAACCACGTTTACTATTTAAAATAATAATTATAAAAAAAACCTTAAAATGTATCTAAAATGTACCCGTAGTAAACATTTATAATTATTGGATAAATAAAGCAAAAAAATCTGTATATGGAACGTACTTACCTAGTTGTAAATTAAACCTGTTTTTAAATACTTAACTATTTTTTTTATAATTATATCATTTTTCCATAATTAATGCCTGCACAATGTATGCTCGAACAGTGCACATGTTAATAGTAATAATTATTATGAATAAACTAAATAATATTTTTCTACTCCCACCTTTAAAACGCCCTTTATCGTACATGTTTCTATGACACTAAGTGTTGTGGCTTTATTGGGCTTTAGTCACGGGCTGAAGTTGGCAACAAGTTTTTAGTCACGGGCTGAAGTTAGTTTTAAGTTAGTTGACAGTTGTCAAATGTCATACAATCGTTAAAATAAATTGCCTTTCTTGTAAAATAATACGAAATGTGAAAATTATTTTATTATCTCAATACAAAAGTATTAAATAGTTTCTCAACGCCAATATTTGAAAAGTTTATATGAACATTGTACTGACCTTTTAATTTCGCCGGTAGTAAACTATAACTTAAATTCGGGCACGGCTCATAAAACATTTTCTTTACCACTGTGAAAAACTGTCAATTTTCAAGAAATACATTTCGATTTATAACCTTTATAATCTGTGTTTATAAAAATTAAAAAATTTGACATTTGACGGTGACACACAGATTCCCCTATTGTTTCATAGATGGCGCTCTATACAAATGTTTGATTTAAATCATTTTAAGATATTAATAAGTTTTTTTCGCAGAAAAAGTATAGTATGCACCTCGTTTATTAACTTTTCTATACACTCATTAATTTAAGCACTCGCTCGTAAGCTCGCTCGTGCCAAATTAAATTCGTGTATAAAATGGCCTTTATCAAACTTGATACATAATATACTATTATAGACAGTGTTAGCAAGTTAGAAATTATAACCTACTTTAATTTTATTTTTTGCCCCACAACCAAGCCTAAATTTATTTTTTACTCGATAAGCAAGCTTCAATTTTAATTCCAAACTGAGGAAAGTAATATTTACCCAATAAATAAATTGGAATAAATACTTTATTTTTTATGTTGATATATGTAGATATATGTATATTTTTAATTAGGTAAGTTGTTTTTCGATTTGTAATTAGTTATTTTGCATTTTTTTATATTTAATATAATGCTATACAGGGTGTTTCTAGAGATAAGCAAACGATATGGATTTGAAATTTTAATAGCATATACAATTTAATTTGGACTATATATACCTAAAGTCAATAGCTTTCAAGATATTAATTTTTTTCGTTAAAATTTTGCTAAATGCACGTTAATCAAAAATAGCCTCTATTTTTTTTGTTATGTTTGCTGACAACCATGGGGTTGGAATTTTTGGAATATTAAAACATTTTTTAAATAATTTAATTTTTTAAAGGTTTTTTAACAAATAGCTTGAGAAAAACCACTTGAACTTAGGCAAACTTCAAACAATAATAACGTTTTTATTATAAATGTAAAACCCTGTAGGTATGTTTTAACTTAATCAAATAGAAAATTAAATAATCTTACGATTGGTATTATAATAACTGTTTCCTAAAGTTAAAATTTCAGAGACATTTAACAATTTCTAATATATTCTATACTATTTTGTATCAATAAACCTGTGAAATTCTACATGTGGGTTAATGTTTAAAATTAATAACTCGAAAAATATTGACTTTAGGTATAGAATTTGGTATAGCCATTTTACTCAGAATTTTATGTAGAAGTAAAAATACATGAGGTGTCCTGTTTAAAATAACTAAGTTAAAATAGGAAGTATTATTTTGTTCAAAATAATTTAAGAAAAAAGTCTAAATCGAATAATTTACACTATTAAAATTTTAAATCGATCTTTCGCGATTCCCTATATAAACTTCTAACGGACTACGTACGTGAAACACCCTGTATATTAAACGTCATTTATGTGTTATGCTATACTTAATTATTGATAAAAGATACAACAATATTTGTATAAAAATGACAAAATGCACTAAACTAAACATTTATGAATACTGCTACTGCTAATTCAAAACTGATCCTGGCCACAGAGACATCATTTGCATAAAAAAATTAATATATTAAATAACCCAGATAGCAAAATGTACTCACGATGCGCGCACAGTAAGTGCACGCGTGCGTCTTTAAACGACACATGTGCGCGCAGATTACTACACAGATGCGCTTACATATGCGTCTCATATGCAGCGCACGTGTGCCGATGCATTTCCAGCGCACATGAATGAGTAAAAAAAGTATGTTTCAATGCAAATTTTTCGAAAAATTGAAATAAAAAAGGTTTAAAAAAAATGTATCTTCCACTAATGTTTAGGTAAAATGTACCAACACCCTGTATATTATTAAAGCAAGGGTTAAAAACTAGAACTAAATTAAGGCAATTACCTACTTATTTTTGCGATAATTTTTACAGTCAGAGAGATAATCTAGGTATTTAAATTTCGTTTAATTATAGGCAAAAGTGATAACGAAAATTAAAATAACTTTAAAATATATACATACATTTTTTGGCTTTGGTAGGTCAACTTTGTATTTGGTAAAGTCGAATTATGGCTGCTTTTGCAAGTTTTATAGTGATTTTGTCAGTTTTTATTGTAAGTAAATTTTCAACATTATGTTTTATTTTAAAAGAACGATTTTTGTATTCATTTTTTTTTTAAATTACTTACAGAGCTAAGTTAAGTTACTTTTAAATAACTAAACTATATAATTAAGTAAAACTAAATATTTTTTTGTGTTTTTTTTTTATTTTTTTTCAAAATATATTAATAATTAAGTTTTCCCACATTTTTTGATTTTGGTACCTAGGGTAAACCACATAGTTATTGTAATAATTATATATTTTTTTTTAATTTGTTTTTTTTTTCTTATAAATTAATAAAAAGGGTAGTGTGTTTGTTTAAACTTTATTTACGTACTTAAAAATACAAGTATTTGAATTTTAATATTAGTTTTATAAAAACATGCAAAAAATTATAGTAATTGGACATTTTATATAGTAATTGGACACATGGATCATAGTTATTGGACATACTATTTTTATATAAACATAACAACTTTACATCAAATAACATAAATTGTTAAATATTTTTTAAAAATAAGTTTTAGGTAATTTTTTTAATTTCGTTTTTGTAAATATCATATAATTCATATATTTCTTTCTCGGATTCCTTATCCCTTTTCTGGGTTCTGAAGGTAACTACTAATTCCTTGGTCTGACTTCTGAAATACCTTGTTGCAAATATCATTAAGTGTGGTATCTCTAGTTTGTGAAGCATTTATAATGTTTAGGCTGGAACATATATATCTATATTATATAATATATATATCTAATATTTTTTCGGGTGGTATGTTAAAAGTATTTCCCTAATTTATTAATTTTCTTGCCATTAGTTTTTTATGTTCTCTATCATGCACTGTATTTAAATCACTGTTATTG